TGTGGTGGTGGGCACATGTATGGGGATGTGTGTGGTGGTGGGCACATGTATGGGGATGTATGTGGTGGTGGGCACATGTATGGAGAGGTATGTGGTGGTGGGCACATGTATGGGGATGTGTGTGGTGGTGGACACATGTATGGAGAGGTATGTGGTGGTGGGCACATGTATGGGGATGTATATGGTGGTGGGCACATGTATGGAGATGTGTGTGGTGGTGGGCACATGTATGGGGATGTGTGTGGTGGTGGGCACATGTATGGAGATCAGATAACAACATACAGAAGTGAGTTCTCTCCTTTAACCATGTGGGTTTCTGGGATCAAATTCAGCCGTCAGCCTTGGTGGCTGATGTCTGCCTGCTTGGCCATCTCACCGGCCCAAGTCTTGGCTCCTCAGCTGCACCACTTCCGACATTTGCCTGGCAATCACAGGGGAGGGGTGCTTGAAACTAAGCAAACGGACCGCTGGCCTTCTATTCCTGACCATCCCTCCTTCCCGACTGTGGCCCAGCTCTGTCTGAAGTGAAAGATTCCCTGCGTGGCTGCCACTCGGAGCGCCTAGTGTTTCCCCCTACCTCTGTCTCCAGGCTCCAGAGAGGCCATGTGTGGGCATGTGTCTGTCATGTGTACATGTAAGTTGCCGGCTTCCTCCGTTCTTCATCAATCCCATTCAACTCCGTGAAAAGACAGAGAGAGAAAGTGCCATTCCTCCAGGCAGAAAGAGCGGGTCTTTCAGAGAGGGATTGTGGTCAGCCAAGGAGCCCAGGGAAGGGAAAGAGGAACCTGGCAGCCGCCTGTGGCTCTGCCTTCCCAGGTCCTTCCAGGCTGGGCCCAGGTGCTGGGGCCTGGGACATGCTCAACCCTGCCTGACCTGGGAGCATGGCCCCATGGGTGAAGACCATATGCAGAGGTTGAGGCCTCGAGCTTCTGGGCCCCACTGTGGTACCTCTTGCTTTATTTTCTGAAAGGCAGAAGCACCACACCTTCTCCTGGAGGTGGGGAGGTGGTCCATGAGGTTCATGCCACTGTCATACTCTCCTTCCTCCCAAGAGGAGGCACATGTCTCGGGTAACCCGAGAACAACCACTGTTTCCCTCCCCCTCCTCCCCCACAGGAGGATCATTTTGAACTCTGAAGCTTTGGAGTACCGAAGCTTTTAGACACTGGGTGAGAAAAACCGTTGGTTGGTGATGCCTTTCTCACTGCAGAGTTGGAATCCGTCTTCATTTCTGGATTGAACTGGAACAGCCTGGTGAGACACACATGATATACTAGCTCTCTGTCACAACTGTCCCTGTGGGCTCCCTAGGGTGTCGAGATGGAATCAGCCTGGCCCTGGAGAGACGGATGAGGCCTCACCTCACACAACTTGCTGTTGCCTGTTTAAGGATGGCGATGTCCTTCCTTCCTCCGTGACATCTTCTTTTCGATAATCCAGAGGCAAAGCATCTATGTGGTCTTAGCACCGGGGAGCCGGGTGACTGTCAGCTTTCTCCAGCTAGGTATCGAGTTTTGTTGGTGTGTCTTTGTGTTTTGGAAACAGAATCACTCTGTAGCCCAGGCTGGCCTTGAACTCATGGTGATTCTCCTACCTCAGCATCTCGAGTGCTGGGGTTACCATCTTGAGCATGGTTTTACACGCACATTTTTACCCAGTGCACACCGAGTTTTCTGTGTAGGTTTCTCTGCTCCATACTGGCTGCCAGAACTCTTGGAACCACATTGCAGACACTTTCTGTTTTAACCACACCAACCCCTTGCTTAAGCTCAATTTCTGTGTTTGGTTTTTCTTGGCCCCGTTTCAACATAGGACCTTTCTTTATTTAATTTTGAGACAGGGTCTCATAAACTGACCTGGCTTAGAAATGCTCTGTGTACCCCGAGATGGACTTGCATTCTTGATCCTTGTCCTTCACCCTCCTGAGAGATGTCTTGTTTTTGACCCATTTCATCTGGCCAAGGTGTCTGTGTCTGTAAAGGCCGTTCTCATCATTCGTTACACAAACTCGGGGGCAAAGAAAGAAGCACCCACAAACCATTTGTGCTCTGCCTGACTGATAATATCCCAGTGGTGATTAAGCTTCCCACAGGGAGTTTTCTGGACAGAGGCCATGTGTTCATTAGAGGAAAATTGAGTCCTGCTTCACTCTAGGTTGCTACCTGGATCCCTTTAAGAGGCGTCTGTGTGTCCATCTGTAAGTCTGACCATGTTCGTCTCCTTCCTTCCCTCCATACCACACCTCAGGTACATTCACCTTCCTTCCTTCCTGCCTTTCTTTTCTTCTTCTTCTTCTCCTTTTCCCCCCTCTTGAGACAGGGTTTCTCTGTATAATAGTCCTGGCTGTCCTGGAACTCACTCTGTAGACCAGGCTGGCTTCAAACTCAGAGATCTGTCTGCCTCTGCCTCCCGAGTGCTGGGATTAAAGGCATGGACCAATTCCCAACTGGGTAGTACTCCATCATTTTGCTTTTCCCGTCTTGTTCTCCCTTAGGGTCTCTGTGCTGTTTGCCTCTGTTTGGGACCCTCTTCCCTCCCCAGCCTGCCTCTCTCTTATCCGTGACAGCCACAGCTGCACTTCTAAAGCACTAAGGGGTGGGCATGAAAAACAATGAGATCTTTGTAGGTGGCATCCTGGGACTGGTAGCTTACCAACAGCAACATCAACACCTCAGACTTTCTAATTTTCAGTCAGTCTTGCGACAGTTTCAAGCTTTACTTCTGTGCGAGCTGCTCACACTGTCTCTAGGATGCGTCGATTGTCTTGTCATTGGGCTGGGTTTCTCTGATTCCATTGTGATAGTTGCTGTCATGTGGAATTTTGAATTCCGTCTGAATATTTTTGTTTGCCTTCCAAGCCTTCCTAGGGTTTTAGTGTTGTAAGGATAGAATCTGCCTGCCTGGGATTTTGTGCATCGGCCCCCCACCCCACCCCCCACCCCCTAGTATCAGGAAATAACAGTGTCCCAAGTCCAGGTGTGCCCTTGGCTGCACCCTAGCCCTGAACTCCCTTTTGTACTGTTGACTTGAATGTCATTGACTTTGTCCTCACGGCGTTTTGAGTAAGATACTATCCTGGGCCATGGCATTTGCAATGATTCAGGACTAAGGGTGCAGGGGCATGGGCTAGGAGGGTGGGGGTGTTAACACTTAAGGAGAGTCAAACGGCCGGCTTGGGTGGGTCGGCTGTAGTCTACATTGTTGCAGATGGTCTCTGCACCTGGCTAGCGCAGAGGGACCGGGACAAGTACAGTCGTGTTTTTAGGCAAATAATGAAACTCAGAGGAGTTCTGAAAACAGAGTCCAGGACCTCCCAGCACAGGTGCTGCGGCGGTGTGGCAGTTGCTTGAGCTTTTGCTGCGGCTCAGCCTGTTCTTTTTAAACGGTTGCTAACGCTAGCAACACAGTCCACTAACACGAAAGCAGAGAGAGGCAGGGAACCCACCTACTGTCCCCAGCCAGGCTGGCCGGGAACTCCTTGTGTAGCTGAGGACTCCCTGTCTCTCTCTGTGGCCCCAGCGCTTCTGGAACTCGCCATGTAGACCAGGCTGGCCTTCAGCTCATGGAGATCCATCTGCTTTTGCCTCTCGGGTGCTGGAGCTAAAGGCGTGCGCCATCGGGCCTGGCAACCTTGAATTTCTGATCCTTCCGAATGTTGGGATCACAGGTGTACGCCACCATATAAGGTTCTGTTGGTCACAGGGGATCAAACCCAGGGCTAGGCAAGTTAGTCCTCTACCCGCCGACTCTGTCCTCGCCCAGAAGTTAAGTTTTAAGGTGCTTTGATCTAAGCTGAAATTAACCAAGACCAGTGAGTGCAGTGAAATCATATTTTTCTTCTGTTTCACGTCCTTATGGAACCGTCCCGGTTTCCCTCTCTTCCTCCCCTCACCTGTTTGTAGGTGATTTGGGGTTGGAAACGGAAGGGATACGGCAAGAGAGAAATGATCCAAGAAGGAGAAGGAAAAAAAAAAAAAGTTCAACACAAATCCAGCCACGCAGCAAAAGCCCCCACTTCTGCCTCTCGGCTGGGTAGGTTTCAGTCTCACGGAGGGAAACGCACATGTACACACGCCCCTAAAGCCCACACAGACAGACAGAACCCTTCCGTGGAGACGCCAGTGACAGGAAACTCGCTTTTGCACAGGAACTTGCTAATCGCTTTTGTCACCCTCGGACTGTTCCTGCTCCCTTAGTCACCTCCAACCCCCGGGCCCACCGCCTCGGGCTGGGCTCTCCCGGTGTGGTCCAGGGCTGCCCTTGGTCCTTCCACGTGACTCACTGGGAGCCGTGGGGAGGACAGAGGGAGAGGTGGTTCCCCGGAGGACCTCACAGCCGCGATCGATAGGCTCCAGCTACACCGACTTCTGCATGGCGGTGGGGAGCAGCTTAGATTTCCGGAGTCAGTCATCTTGGTGTTGAGACATCCGTTTGGCATTCTACGACAGGTAAGGCTTTTTGTCTCTTTAAAAACCATTCTTCAGTGTCCCGGGAATCTCTGTAATTTTGTTGAGATTTTTTTCCCCCTTTTCTTGATGCTGTACATTGTAATGACCTTGTTTGATCCGTTGTAAAGCATAGACCAGACTTAGCGGTGGGGGTGTGTGCTGTGGATCCCCTCTCTGAAGTCTTAACAAGACACAATTAGGTTTTCTTGTCATTTTGCTTTGTTTTTGTTTTGAGATGGGGGTCTCGTGTAGCCTAGGCTGGCTGATCTGTAGTCAAGGGTGGCCTTGAATTCCTGTTCTGCCTGCTTCCACGTCACAAGTGCAGGGATTACAGGTGTGTGCCACCCAGCCTGGAAGGTCACGCAGGATTCCGAGACATTCAAAATGTGATTGTCTTGATTTCTGAGGTGTTCTCGCATATGGAAAATGCCTGTTTGGGGGGGCTGACTGTGTCTGAGCTTGCTTGTGTGGGGACTTTAAACAACACACAGTGGCTTTTGATGAAAATCTAATGACCCTCCAACTTTCACAGTTAACAGTTTTAAAGTTATCTAGCTAGGCAAAGAAAATCAAAATAAAACCGTATAGATTTGGGTCCAGAATTGCTACCTAGTTGTCCTCAATGCTAATGGTCCCTTTCTATACCCTTCTAGATTAAGTTTAGTTTCTGAGGTGGTTTCAGCTGTCCATCCATTGCCTGGGCTGTAACAGCAGCAGCAGCAACAACAAAAGCTCGGAATGTCACTGGTTTTAGGTACTTTACTACGTTAACGTCACATTTGATGTATTCAAGCAAGAAGCAGTTGATGACTGCTCACCGGCTCTAAGATGGTGTGCGTGAGGGAAGAGAAGTACAAGGACACCCATTCTGTGGTGAACCTTAGGCTCCAGTGGCCGCAGTGAAAAGCACCGTGTGGGAAACAGTAGTCGAGGCAGTGGGGTGGCAGAGGCTTTCAAGGGCTGAAGGGGCTCAAGAAGGGTGTAGGGGTGAGCTGGAACAGTTCTGCTCCCCGACTTCAGCTCACTCGGGACTGTTTCGTGACACCTCTCGGGCCTCCAGCATCATCTCTGGGTACAGCGTGGATGCAGAGAAAAGCCTGTGGGAAACCTCCGTGTCTGGTTTTCCCATTTTAAGAAGACGTCCAATCATCTGTTAATGCAGGTGGCTTTCCTCATGGGAGGGTGAATCGGAGGATAAGCAAGTCTCCATCCCTGAAAAGCTCCTTCCAACATTCCGTGAGCTTCCCTTGTTCAGAGAGCGAGCCGTTTTGGCCACATGGCTGTTGTTTCCACGGACTTTCCTTTAGAGAGACAGCATAATGATTCCTGGACCACGAAGGCTGTGTTCATCTAAAGAACACAGGACAAGGAGCAAGAACTTGGAGACTGTGTCGAACCCTCGCTCGATTATTTCTGGGCTGTGGGAACCTCAGATAAGTTACTGAAATTCTTCAATCTTTCTATTTTTTTTAAATGATAAGACAGCTCTAACAACAGCAGTAATAAGTGAAAACCGTTACCTCAAAAGGTTGTTGTTGAGATAAAATATGCAAGGTGCTTGGCTCAGTGTCCAGCTTACCATAAACTCTCAAAGGTCAGCCGTTGTAAAGACTTAGTGACGGACACAAATGAAAACGAGCTGATTGCTGGCCTGAGAGCAAGCTATCTACAAACTTGCCTATTTAAACACAATATTCCTTTTAAGGGATTAACATTTTTGAGCGCTGGCTACAGACCAGACCCAGGGTTTAGACATTTTATAGTGTTAACATGTGAAAAAAAAAAAAAACATGTTAGAAAGTGGTGTTTTAAGCTTTCTCACTCCAGCTCTTCCAACTGCCTAGAGAACTCTTTTGAGCATCTGCAGATGTTTGTGAACATCTGGATGGAAGTCTGAAGGCTGTGGGTGGAATTACAGAGGTTCTCGGAATCTGAGGCAGAGAGAACAGTTTATTTCTTGGCCTAGTTTAAGTTAAATCATATAATTTTAATATTTTAGTTGCAATGCTAGCAAGATACAGCTGAAAATCCATTCCTGCTCCACAGCTGGGATAGTTTTGGCCATAAGTTCTTGAAGTGTTGCTCCAGGTCTGGATGCTCAGGTCCCGTCAAAGCCCAGGTTCAAAGCTCCTTGCTTTCCCTTTCCTCTCTAAATTACAGGTTCCTCTGGATTAGAAAGGCCTTCTTTTAGAAGTCCAGTGACAGCTGGCATGCTGATTAGGAAGCTGATTCTCAATTATGTGTCAAGATTAGTCAAGTAGCGACACTCTTTTCCTTCTAGAGACCTTCTGAGAATTCGAGGGAGGAGATTCTGGGGGCTCTAACTAGAGAAAAAGAGGGACAGCAGCCAGAAGGGGGGCCCTGGATGGGAATTGATGGGAGCGCGGTAATATTAGGGGATGAGTTGGTCAGAGGGGGCGGGGGGGCTTAGGTGATGGAAGGCGTGGCTAGAAGGAAGGGGAGGGAGTGTCAGAAACAGCTGGCCTCTGGCCTGGCCTGCCATGTCACCCCAGCAGCTGCTGGACCAGCCGCTTGAACCATCTCTGGACAGTCTGCACTCGGAATGGTCCTGCTGTTCCGGGATCCAGACAGCTGTCATTAGGCTGGACCTGGAAACCAAGTAGAGAGCTTGAATTCTTATGCATTGTACCACAGCCCTGGCATGTGGCTCAGGAATCTGTGTGATCAAAAACGCAAGCCCTGAAATGGCATGGCTTTACAGAAGGTGGTCTCAGAGCCATTCAGCAAAGCTCCCTCTTTCCGGTCCCCAAATGCCAAGATGGTAGCTGGAGACAGAGCTTGCTGCAAGAAGGGGGACAACCCTCTCTCTGCTGTGACTGACAGTCGAACACGGAAGAGGCTCTTCCTTTGTCCTGAATTTGTTCCTTGAGATAAGTTTCCGGGGGTGAAAGGGTGTGGGCATTTTTAGCTCAATGCTATTTTCATCAAGTACCTTCTTAAAAACATCCAGAGCAGCGGTTCTCAACCTTCCCAATGCTGCGACCCTTTAATACAGTTCCTCGTGTTGTGGTGACCCCCCAACCATAAAGTTATTTTGTTGCTACTGTAATGTAAATATCCGATATGCAGGATATCTGATTTGCGACCCCCAAAGGGGTCATGACCCACAAGTGGAGAGTCATTGCTTTACGGTGTTGCAGGCATGTAGAAGCAGACAGCGTTCCTCTGGAGGAGCGCAAAGGAAGGGATTTACTAGCAAGGAGAAAGTGTCCAATCATCTCCCCTCTTTCTTTTCCTGTAGAATAGAATGGAGAAAGTGTCCAATCATCTCTCCTCTTTCTTTTCCTGTAGAATAGAATGGAGA